AAAATAATTCGCAATGAAAAGGTTAGCGCATGGACCTGCTACTTATCTGTGCAAAGGCTTTCGCTGGGCGACTGCAAGGTGCGGGTGAGGTTGAACAACCCCTGGCTCTGCAGTGCTGATGTGTTTGGTTCCTGGACCCGCATAGATATGCTTTTAATTAAACAACAGAGCGAGATGTTGCAGAAGATACTATAAGCCTGGGATTTTTAAGCAAACATTCTGTCAAAGCATGAGGTCAGACCTGAGCAGCAGGTCGTAGGCATGTTTTGGTAGATGCAGGTGATGCAGGCAGACACCCAAAGGTCAGATTTCCTTGGAGCTGGGCTGGAGGTAATTACTGATACTCGGTTTTATGATGTGCTCTGGGAGTTTTGCAGTTTTCAGTCATCATTTATATTCCAAATAAGGGCTTGATCTCATTTTCAGAAAGTCAGTGATAAAACTCTTACTGATCTCAACAGGATGTATTCTATCTCTAAATGCATATGTTACTGACTGAGAAATACTTATCTGCTCCTGGGAATCCTGCCCAGCAGTGGGGAATGCTGCGGTGAGCTACATGAATCAGATCTGTTGTGCTCGATTTGGGGTTGGAGGTGACATAACCTGCTGATGGCCGACTTAACAGATATGGTAGGTGTATCGTGAGCTGAAAAATAAGCGCTAATAGATCAGACCAAAATGATTATGCACTGCTATTTTTCCTCATACTGCTCCAGGTCTCCCTGACCTCTTCCATCCATTTCCAGCAGCTGCTGGAGACACTGGGCGAGTTAGTATTGCTATACTGATCCAGGCAGCTGGCCGTGCTGATGTGGCCATGATGCCAAGGTGGGTCCTTTCTAAGGGGCTTGGGTGTCTTTGAATAGCAGCAGAGCTCTGTGCAGCTGTAGCACACACTTAGATATTTTTCATCCATAAAGACACATCTTTCTCCTTCATGTACTTTTAAAGGTTCACACCAACCAAATCAACAAATGCCTCAAGACACTTCCATTTCTGCAGAGCCGGCAAAGGGCACGCGCAGTCGTCGGGCATGCAGCATCAACAATAAGCTGCTGTGGGAACTGTGTGCCTGTCGGGTTTGGAAGAGGCCTCTTTAGGGTAATGCAAAGTGTTCAGCTTGCAACTTGTTAAACTTGCTGCGGCAGTGGAAAAAAAAATGGGCAAGGAAGGCTAGGGAGGAATGTTTTCAGCATTTTTAAAGGTCCTTTGTCCCCAGAAGAGTTTTGATCAAAACACTGACAAGGTCAGCTCTTCCTGGGGTAGAACCCAAAGCTTTGGTTTAGGAAACAAACAATCCTTTTATCTTCTAATTTCAGATATGTCTCTGCTCCCTGTGGACCTGAAATCTCCAGTTGCCAACACAGACCAACAGATACTCTCTTACAAATGCTATGTTTAAAATAGATGATCTTTCTTTATATAAGGCTGCTAAACTATCTTACATCATCTTTTTTTTCAAATGGATATTTTTATCTTCTTTGATTTTTCTCTGATATTAGCAGTGACCATGAGCCAAGTTATCAGTAGAGCAGTTGCGTTAACCTGTATAAGAAGAGATTTACATTTTTAATTGTTGTTACCACCGTTGTGGTTAGTAGTATCAGGGAACCCAAAACATTCAATAGCAAGTCAATAGCTCATCTGTTGAGTTTGTAATGGTTTAAAGAGCATACTCAGCAACCAGCACTCTCTTCTGAGGTAATACACATGTTTATTGGAAATGTGGGTTAATTTTATGTCTTCCTAGGCATCTTATTAGAAAAACATTCTGGTGGTGTATTTCAGAAGAAGAAGAAAGCGTACTGAACAGTGCTTCATTTAATTTGAACTTGGTGTCTTGAAAGAACTTTTTCAACCAAACTACTAAAAGTGGTTGATGAAGGGATGTTTGCTTTCAAGCCAATTAGCAGTTTGAGAACCCTCAGTGGCCTGAAATGAGCCTCTCCTCTCGTTTAATGCAGATATGTCTGCAAAGAAAATTTGTGAATTAGCAAAATCAGTGAAAGTCCTTCCTACTTTCTCAACTAACTGTAACAAATTTCAAAGTGTTAAAATAATTACTTGTTAACTTCTAACACATTGGATTCAAATTAGAAGACAAAACATTCAGTGTAGAAATGCACCTTCAGCAAAAAGAGCCACATAACCATAAGGCCTCCTAATCAATGAGTCAAAGTAATGTTTTAATGGTCTGATTTATTTAAAAAAATTCAGTTAACTTGCACAATTATTTGTCGGTTTTAATGCTGGTTGTTTACAGGAGTGGGCAGGGAATTACTTAGTTACCAGATGAGAATTAAATATGCCTGGACACTCTCTGGGGAATGGGTTTGGAGAACTCTGTGCAAGTCCCAGCCGAACTCTCTGCAGCGTGTTACCACAGTTAAAGGATGCCCGTGTGCTCAAATTGTAAAGCCAGCTGGCGGGGGCTTTCAGCTTAGAAATGGAAGGAAATAAAGATAGCACTAGGTCCCTGGGATGTGCCAAAGCCAATGGTGGATTGACTGTCCTCATCCAAAGGTTGTCTCTAGAGCGATCTAGTCCACATTAGTTACAAACCAATTTTACAATGGGAATAAAGACAACTTAGAAGGAGACCAATAGCATGAGAAAGAGACAGAAAAGGCATCAGAATTTGAAATTAAAGCTGGCTTCATCAGCAGATACAATTAAAATGATCTATGGAAGAGATTATCCAGTAAATAGATTTCAACCATATGGCTGAAAATAAAAGATAAATAAAATCTCAACTGTACAGAAATAGTCTAAAACATCACTTTTTTCAGGATTTCTTGGGATGGCAAAAATGCTGAGGGAGGGAGTGCAGAGTCTGGCAGGGGCAGCGCCGGAGCCGGGTGGTCCTTGAGCTGGAGCGTATTGCTGAGCTTGTTCTGTCGTTTATATTGATTTGAATTTTAATGCATGCCAAGGGCACCTTCAGCTTTCAGAAAGGCACTATTGTTTCCGAAGACCTGAAATTGATAACAGCAGTAAATAATTCCTCGAGAGCTCCTGGTGCTGCTGCTGCCCAGGCTCCTGCACTGGAGGCCAGTGTGGCAAGTCCTGTGCTCCAGTGCACATTTAATGTAATACGTGCATTGATTTGTGCCAACATAGTAGTGAAGATAAGAGACAAGTAGCTATATACTACTCTCTTCCAATTATTGAGCTGGAGCAACTGCTATAGAAGCAAATATATGGCACTGGACTCCTGCAAAAATAAATTACAGTAGTGAATGTTACTGACTGCAACAATTTGGAGACCTATAAGCCAGTTGAGAAACTTCTATTAATATCACTGCTACTGATGTGTGAAATATAACCTCTGTCCTTGGTCTCTGCCAGCTGGCCTGCGTGTTGTTGTACTGCTGCAAGAGCAGGTCAGGGGGAGGCTAGCCGGGTCGGAGATTTGGTGGCTGCTGTCGGAGCATCTTGCACCGTCTTCCTCCTCCTCGCTCAGTACCATTGTTGTAGAGACACTCAAACTGTCCCATTTTTTGAAGCAGGTCTATGCATGTGGACTGAGTAGCCTGTCAAGAGAGCATGGCATGACAAAAGGCACCCACACCACCTTCCTTAGGTGAGCTGATGTCTCCTGAGTCTCACTGGAGACCATGTTCAGCCCAGTGGCTGCAACTGGCAGGAGCCTGAGGAGCCCCACAGCTGGCGTGGGCAGATGTCCTTTGCGCTTGTGTTCATGCCTTGTCTCACACTGGTACTTTATTCAGCTGCCTCAGTGCTGTCCCATGGCTGCAAGAAAAGGCTTGTGCTGCTTCGTGCGGTCTGTTTCTTAAAGCCTTCTCAGGTGGGAAGTGCCATCTGAGCACTTCTGTGATGGTGCAAGTATTGTTTGCTAAGTTTCGTTTGCCCTAATTTCTCAGTCCAGTTGTGCAGAGCTTGATTGGCGTTAAGGATGCAGGAAAGCTTCTTCATTTTCTTTCAAATTAGTTTAAT